CAGTATTCAATTAGCCTTTAATTTGCAGTTGTATGTTAGAAAAACAGCAGCAATGCATAATTCTGTAAAACTGACTTTTAAAAACTTGCACTAACGTGGAAGAGAACCCGTCCATCAGCCCACAAGTAGGTAAGACTTTCAGTTCCAAGCGCAGGCTGATCTGGTTCATTCTGTAAAGCCGGTCCAAGAACCGTCAGGCCAATTATGAATGTCATTTGGGCACCTGTTTCCGAATATGTAGTTCTATTAATTTAAATAATGAATTAACAAATAAAAAAATCACAAACATGACCTTTCTGAATAACTAATTTTATACACTTTAGTTAGCCTATATATACAATATATTTGAGGTATTATGATGAGGAAATACAGTGCCTTGAATAGGCAAGGCTACATTTACTATGATGAAATGAAAATTTAAATCTACAAATAATATTTTAAATGAATTCTGTTTCAGAATAAATAAAGCTGTATTTAATTTTCCTATTAACTGCTACTCAGGGTTTGTATGTGGACAGGTTGTAACTCTTGTATGTCGATGTATGACTTAAGTGACACTGATACATGATCATGTCTGTGTTTTGTATTGGTATTAGTTGAGCAGACGTGCATTAGTGACCTGGCGTGAGAGATTCTTTCTACACAGTTTCACAGTATTTTTAAACTACCGTTGTTGTAATCTGCAAAAGTATTTAGGGATTGGGGCTATTGTGAATGATTTTATACTATGTTGACAATGGAAATGTTGGTGACAGTGACGGAGATGTGGTAGTTTTACTTTGTGTGTCTTCCCCTGCATTCTACGGTTTATTTTTCAATAGGATCAAAGAAAAGAAGTGTGAAATGACCTGAATATTGAGTCCAACTCTGTCCGTTAGTTACAAGTGCCCGCTCACTTTTGCCCAGGCCTGCCCAAAAATAAAATTCTGCCTACGCCACTGGTTCTATCAAACCTCTGCAGCTAATCCAGAATGTGGCCGCAAGATTAGTCATTAACGAGCCGAAAAGAGCATGTCACACCAATTTGCACTGGCTACCAATACCTGCTCGCATGAAATCCAAGGCATTGATGTCTGCCTAAGAAAAAACCACTGGCTCTGCACCCCTTTATCTAAATTCATTACTTCAGACTTATGTGTCCTCCAGAAACTTGCATTCTGCATGTGAACAGTGCATTGTAGTGCCATCCCAAAGAGGCACAAAATCACTTTCATGGACTTTTAGCTTAACTGTTTCCTGCTGGTAGAATGACCTGCCCAACTCAAACCAAACAGTTGAGTCTTAAGCATCTTCCATTCTACACTTGACCCTCTAACACTAGAACTCTATTCTATTGCTATTCTATCTACTTGTTTTCTTTTTATTTATAAAAAAAAAAAAAAAAAAAAAAATTGACACTAACTGTTATGTCCTGTGTATAAATGTGTTTGGGTATGTATTTTACTCTGTATGAGTATTGTGTTTGCCAGTGTGTTCTCTCTCTCTTCCTCACTCTGCTTGCCTTGCAGTTAATTAGCCACACCTGATGCTTGTAAGGAGTGTGCTGCTACAAAAGAGCAGAGTGAACACTGCTTGAGGAGGTTCACTTCTCCCCTGCACCAGACTCGTGTGTTCCAGATAACTAAGTGTAGACTTTTGAGTGTTGGTCTTCTTTGTACTGCAATTAGTTTGCACACATTGTAGCTTGTGTGTTCTTTGGTGTGAAAACAGTGTTGTAGCCCTTTTGCTATCAGGTAATGATCCTTTTCTTTCTTTCTACAATTTGTGTCCGTGCTAAAAACTATTGTATCCTTCTAATACTTTTCTTTTGAAAAATGTTCATCCCTGTTTTTGGTTAGTAAGGAAGTAGAGGGAAGCTTATGTTGTTTATTTCTTTTCTTTTACCTCTATAGGTCATTTAGTTCTCCTCCCAGTAGCAAGTAACTTTTTTTTGTTTGTTGTTTTGGCTAATGGCCTCTGTTGAAGATTAATTGTTTCCACCTTCTTTAAAACAAATAAACAATTTTTATTTGCTATAACAAGTGGTTGTCACATTTCCGGGGCAGAGGATTGAAGGGAATCCTCCATGTTCTCTATTTGTTTTTCCTTTTGGTTAATTTTTAACTGTTCCCTCCTCTCCCAACCCTAGACTGGGAGAAGTTGTAACACTAACACTATTCTATTCTATCTACTTGTGCTCTTTTTAATTACTATGAAAATAATAACAACTTCTAATGTTTTAAATAACATTAACTCTATCTTTTCATTTATTACCTTGCTATGTGCAGTGCATAAGACTAAGTAGGACTTGTCACAACACATACATTGTTGCTCTTTTGTTGATTTTGATTGCTTCTATTGTCCTCATTTGTAAGTCGCTTTAGATAAAAGCGTCTGCTAAATGAGTAAATGTAATAGATAATATACTACATATTTTACAGTAACACATTGGCTCATAAGTTTACAGTGTGGGTTTTGAAATTCAGTTATCAGCGATGTGAATGCACTTTTTTTTTTTTTTTGGAAGATAGATGGATCAATTTTCATGCTGCCACTTAGTCATGGGAGAGATAAGCAGTTGACTTTTGCTAACTCAATTTCATTCCTACAGGACTTAGGCCAAGTCCCCAAGCCACATGTCATTGCTCAGAGATCACAGCACAAAATGAAAATAGAGAATTTTCTATCTGTGCTCTTTTTAATTACTATGAAAATAATAACAACTTCTAATGTTTTAAATAACATTAACTCTATCTTTTCATTTATTACCTTGCTATGTGCAGTGTGCATAAGACTAAGCAGGACTTGTCACAACACATACATTGTTGCTCTTTTGTTGATTTTGATTGCTTCTATTGTCCTCATTTGTAAGTCGCTTTAGATAAAAGCGTCTGCTAAATGAGTAAATATAATAGATAATATACTACATATTTTACAGTAACACATTGGCTCATAAGTTTACAGTGTGGGTTTTGAAATTCAGTTATCAGCGATGTGAATGCCCTTTTTTTTTTTTTTTGGAAGATAGATGGATCAATTTTCATGCTGCCACTTAGTCATGGGAGAGATAAGCAGTTGACTTTTGCTAACTCAATTTCATTACTACAGGACTTAGGCCAAGTCCCCAAGCCACATGTCATTGCTCAGAGATCACAGCACACAATGAAAATAGAGAAAAACTCACATACATGTCAGCAACTGACAAACACCAATGCATGCCAGCTCTCCCCAAGTGCTAATCTTACTTAGGTACTCTCATGGTGGACATAACATATACCAAGTTTGTTATAATCAGGGTGTGATTTGAGGGGGGATTTTTGATCAAGAATGTCATTAATGAACTTTTAATGTAGAAATTTAGACAGTGTAGACAAAGTGTAATGGCAACACTGTTAATTAAGCGTTTTCCCTCAATAAACTCCTAAACTCCTACTCCTGCTGCTAATCGATAGTAAGTTAGGTAGTTGGTAATAAGGTATGTTTAAGTATTGGGTAGGGTTAAGGGATCTAGAATATGGTCATGCAGAATAAGGCATTAATACTGTATGTGCTTCATAAGTACTAATAAACAGCCAGTATGCGGTAACACTTTATTTTAAGGTGTCCTTGTTACATATGTTACATGTACTTACTATTATAATAACAATTAACTATGCATAATTACATGCAAGTAACCCTAAGCCAAACCCTAACCATATAGTAAGTACATGTAGTTAATAAATATTACTCAGTACTTAAATGTATAATTACACTGTAACGCGGACACCTTAAAATAAAGTGTAACTGTATAGTAGTAATATACATGCTAAAAAGCACACTAATAATAATGAATAGTAAATGATAATGGTAAAAATACAGAAAATAATTATTTTAACTGAATTAACTAAATTAAATGTTTTTAAGAGTTAATTTATTGGCTAAAATGTAACAATTTACAAGCCACATGAGGTATTAAGTAAGTTGTCAAACATTTTGAACACATTTCTGCCATCTATCCTGACAAATATGTATTTTCATTCCATCTTAGTCCAGGATAAGTCTTAGTGTCACGCATGTTTTACTAGCTTGCTTGCAACACTGAGAATAAAATCTCTAACGCAAGATAAAATGACTCTAATGTTTTACTGTCACGAAAGAGTGGTGGCAGCATTGCACTGATTATAGACGATCTCACCTTATGTCCAGGACGGCAAAAACTGTTGAACTGCCCTTTATAAATAAATACTAATTAGTGACTATTATCTATTATCCTCATAAAATAAATGAAAATCCTTTCTGATATTTTTTTGATCTGTCAAGACCATTAATAATAGTTTACGTATTCTTTTCTCTTTATTTCACTCTTCTTCTGTCCATATTCACTGTTGTTGTCGTTGTTGTTGTTTTCTACACACAAGTGTCAATGTGCAATTAATCTACAATGACACGCTCAATCAACCTGCGTTAAAATTCCTGATGTGGCCCCCTGATGTGGGGCCAATTGTGTGGGAAAACCACAAACAAAACAGCAGTAAAAATGTGTATATTTGGTCACACTTTATATTAGGTGGACTTAACTACTATGTACTTAACATCAAAAAATGTACTTATTGTGTTCATATTGTATTGCAAAACACTTCTGCTGCTATTGAGGTGGGATACGTGTCAGGTTAGGGACAGGTTTGGTGGTATGGGTTGGTTTAAGGGTGGGTTAAGGTGTAAAGGATGGGTCAACTGTAATTATAAATGTAATTACATAAATTAATTACAGATGTGATTACATATAGGTATTTTTAAAAATATAAGTACAATGTAAAAACATGTATGTACACAATAAGTGCATTGTACCACATGATTAATTTAAATGTAAGTACATAGTAGTTAAGGCCACCTAATATAAAGTGGGACCGTATATTTTAACATTTAAAATACCAGGAACAGACACATTGCTGTAGAAGAACAACACAACTGTTGAGGTGAAAGTGAGGACAAACACAGTCAGAAAGAAAAGTAATAATAACGAGATGACTAACCTAACCCACCTGAGCTCGGTTCGCACGGGTCTATGTCCTCATCGTCACTGGGGCACTCGGCAGATGCCACCAACAAGTCATCAGTAGTCTGGAAAACAGATGGTATGGGAAAGAGTGGATGAACTAAAGAAGAACTGCACACAGAATGAAAAACATAGGGGGAAAAAAAAGAGAAATGGGAAACTGAGCTTAATTGAATGGGCTTACAAAGCATTAGATTGAGACTCTTTAGCTGTGAAAAGTGTAACAATAAACAAACAGATTATTATAACAGATTACAGACATCCTGACTATCAACATCAATGTGAATAACTGTGCTACACTTGCTGGGAGGGAATTAAACAAACACATTTTTATTTCTGAATCCACTTTCCATTTTTTGAAACAGACATTTTTCATGTTACACAAAGATTACACATAACCATTATTTGGTTACTAGCAAGCTACTTTGAAATTGAAAAGTTTATGAAAAAAGAAATGGTGCGATATCCAACCTGGTCTCATGGCAAAAACGTACCTGGGGACACTTTTTCGCGAGACGCGAAATACGTACCAATAAGTACATAATCACTGCAGTTTCCAAAATAAATGAACACTAGAGGCAGTAAAACTCCTTTTATTCCTTTTCACACAAATTTACAGAGTTTCGATTAATAAAGCGGAATTTTCGCACAATTACTTGACGAATATTACGTTATGACTTCAAAACAATTTTAATATGCTGGGAGATTTGAAAACTGATGCTTTTGAATGTTAGCATCGAACATTCATATCTATAGGTTTTCACCGACGTTAGGTTTGTTCGGTAGCTCACGGAATACGGAGATGTACTTGAGAAGTGAGGAGCTCCGGTTCGAATCCCGTGTAACTACGGTTCGACAAAACAGTTCAAATCTGCATATAAGGAAGTTCAAATGGCACGGTTGCATCAACAAATGCATTTTAGGGTTGGGTTTGGTGTAGGCCAATATGTACCTGAAGCAACGTTATAAAAACGTGCCAGGGTTCACGTATTGAACCCGTGTTTTAGAGCCCGTGTTTTAGTTTATTAGTGTAAACGGCCTTGATAATTAAATGTAATACTTTGTGCATTGCCTTCAGGTTATTGGCTCTTTGACTGTGAGCAGTTCCAATTGGCTTTTATTACTTATTATTATAGCTTATATCAGTACTGCTGCAATTTTGTGCGAGGGTAGTTTTTTCTACTTTTACCCAGGTTACATACGATGCACCAGGACCACAATATCAGCAATTATGCACAAAAGTATTTACAGGTAATTGTACTCGTACTTGCATTAACACTAAAAACATCATGAATATTGCTGCAAAACAATACAAAAAAGACTGCAAATATTGCCACAATTTTAGAGAAACTCAGTAGCACATTCAGTAGTTTTGGGCCATAAAAATCAGAAAAAAGTCCAGCGAAATACTGATGGGACAGGTGGAACAAAGAAATGGAAAGGAAAGGGTGGAGGTCAACTAAAGGAACGAGTGGAGTTTTCTAACCTGCTGGGGTTCGCTTGCTGTGCTCGGTTTGATCTTGTGGTTGGAGGTGGTTGTGGTAGTGATCTCCATGACTGAGGTAGAGGTTTCAGAGCGAGAAACCGTAGCGCTGGACTGTGGTGATATGGAGGACGACTGCACCTCCCCAACCAACCTCACGCTGCCTTCGATGCGGATGTTGGGGTCTCCTTCCACGGCCATGTTAAAAACCTTCAAACCGTTGTAATAGAAACCAGACATTTGGCCCTGGAAGGCACGGCTGTGGTCTCTTTCCCAGCCCCCGATCTGGATGGTCATTTGGCTGTTGAAGATTGTGAGCTGACGGCCTGCGGGAGAACAAAGTTAATGCAATACAAAAAAACTTAGTGCAGACTGAAGAGAAACATACGTGAGGGAGAGTGATGGAAATAATCACGCCTGAGGAAAAGACGGATTATTCAGGTACTGGGGAATGTAAATGCCTGGCGATTTATCATGGCTGTAATGAAGGGATGCTTATGAAACACAAATAATGAAAAATAAAAGATAACAAAACAGTGGTTTAAACTGTGGCACTTTGCTAAAAGGCCTCTTTAACACTACCAATTATCAACAACTAGTTTAATTCCAAATGAAGTTTTGCAAAGCTAATCATTACTGATTCAAGTAAAAGTAATTTTTTTTTTTTGTCTGTTGTCATGGAGTTAAAAGCATTTCCATGGCAGATGTTTACAGCTAACAGTCAATCTGAAGGCAGCTTAATAACTTTATACACTTAAAAAAATGTATCTGATATTAATGTGATGTAGGTATGCAGTATAATGATCAGAGTATGTACTATAAATATAACAATAACAACCATGTCTGCCTTTTAGCAAGATGAGTTGGATTGGATGCAAATGTAAACAGGGTGGTCATGAAACAAAGGAAGACTGAAAAATAATTCAATTAAAATCAACAAGAAAAACAGTTGTGTATTTCATTTAAAAGATGAAATGATTATTCATGCACTTCAAAGTTTTTTTTTTTTTTTTCAGTGGATGTTTTGTCATTTTCTTAGCTACACGTAAATTTTTCTTAAAGGGACTCAAATGACAATTAATATTTGTTAAACGTTATTTAAATATTATCGATTATTATATTTGTAATTATTACTATGATTATTAAATATTATCTAGTTATTATGGCTGTCTTTGTATTAATATGACAAAAAGGTACACAAATGTTCACATTTACACATGTTACAATTTGTAAATTCATTATATTAACACAATTATCATTTTAATTTGGACATTTTGATTTTATGATTTAAAAGTTTAAATTACATTAAAAATGCGTTTTAACAAGCTTATTCAAACTTACATCTACAGTCCCTTTAACCAAAATTTATGACATAAATTAGTTAATACAAATCAGTACATTAATAAATAACTACAGTTATTACAGTTATTACAAGCTACATTTATCTATTTAAAATTCATCCTTTAATTTAACTATTTAAAATGTTTCAATTATTGCTTTATTTCACATTTAAAATATACTATTTAAAACTTATTCATTAAGTTTTATCAGTGTTTTTACCTTTGTCGAGTAGCCAATCATCAACTACTCGACCGAGTCGATATGGAATTCGCTGTCTAGCGATCGCCAGCCGTTCACTATCAATGTTTCCTTTAAAGTTTAAAGAGACATTTCATTGGTTACAATCCAAAATCAATGGGGAACTTTAAAACTTATTATTCGAGCTGTTAAAATGAAAAAAAATTTAATCTTATATTAGATATATTACACTCAATTTCAGTTTATATACTGCGTGCATTTTCAGTTTAGTGAATTTTATGCCTGTTTATAAACCCAATGCAGAATTTATACAAACATAAGAGATCTTATATAATTGCAATTTACACCAATAATCCTGTTTGCAAAAGTTTACATTACCTTGATTCCTAATATAGTGTACTGCCTTCTTGATCATCAATTATTGTTTGCACCTTTTGTAATAGTTGAGTCCCTCAAACATAAGTGTGAAAAGCTGGATATCAACATCATGCAGTAACTGTTGGAATAATTCAATTATGCAGACGATGTTGAAAATCCAAAGAGTGAGCAGTGACTGGAAAATTTTCCATAAGAACAGCAGGCAGCGTCACTACTCTAGATAAAGCAGGAACTGCCACAAAACATATAAACAGGAAGATACACAATATATCAAAAACCAAGGGGACGTAAACTGAGCAGGATAATGTGTGTATTTTTTTTTTATTTGTATTTTTTTTTATGTAGACATATGTTATGTGAAATCACTAAGTCAGGGCAGTCCTAAATAAATAATGCTATTTTTATGATCTCTTTTTATTGTTAACATGGTAAACAATTATTGTACACTTACACACATTCTGTGCACATTAAAGATAAATTACCAGCATATGAAAATAGGGTTTGTGAAACAAAGGACTACCAATAAGCACAATCAAATGTTGTACTCCAGAATAAAGCTATGTAATTTGTTTCCATCTTCTCTCTTTCACTTTCATTCAGTTCATCTTTTTAATATTAATAATACACGATAAAAAGTCTATTTTACATTACTTTTTGTATTCGTATCTTAACAAATTAACATATTCCTGTTATAATTTTTCAAACACATAGTCACATTATGCTACTAATGCAAAAATCATGATACTGTAAAATATAAGATACTATCAAGAATAGCAGTTTCAATCAACGTGGTGTCAATAGATGATGCTATGGGAACTTCCCCAAGGGGTAACAATTATATAATTTGTATATAAAATTATATAATATAGAATCACTCCAATTCATTGGTTGACGCCGATAACATCGCTCTCTGAGGCATTGTGTCACTCTCGTTCTGCATCTGCCGTATGGCGGGTGGACAGTGCCATGGATAACCTACCAAAGGAGACAGTTGTGTACTTTTACATTAGAGAAGGGATACGTCTCCACCACAGACGTGTACGCCGTTGAAGTACGTCTCTGCATTACACTTTTCATCTAAATAATATATCATCAGCAGTGCTGCGATTTTACCAAGTATTATACAGTAATAAAAATTTTAGATGAACACGTTTATTTATAAGCCAGTAATATAATTAGTAATAATAAGTAATATTTTAAGTATATTTTGATGCTTATAGTCTTGTATTTTATTTTACTTAAAGGGATGAATTCACTGAATTAAAAAAAAATGATCAACACTAGTAATATTTATAATACATATCATGTACTGTATTTATCCATTTTTGGAACAACCACTCTGTCAGTTTAGTTGTTTATCAATTTATTTTCTGGTATCTTTTTTCCCATTTTAATTTATATTGACTCAGTATTTTGCTGTTTTCAAATATCACTTGAAGGCACTGTTCGTACTCGGCTTGCTCATGGAATAAAGCTAAAAATGAAAAATTTACACTGCTTTATTGAATATTGTGGGAAGTGGTCTTAAAGCTCTTAAAGCCATCATAACTCACTGAATCACAAGTTTTAGATTGTGAGAAAACTAGATCAATGAAAAAAAATACTAAAGATATAAATCAAAGTACACTTTCTTATTATGATCCAACCGTTTTGATGACTAGACACAATGTTTTTTAAATAGTTATTAAATATTCCAACATGAATAAATCAGAGGTTGCAGTCCTGTGCCGTTTTAGTTCGTAACTTCACGAAACATCTAGAAAAATCGCACATTTTTTTTTTCCAGAAAATTCTTCCGATTAAAAAGATCCCAAATTTACCATAATCTGTCGATCAGGGGTGTGTTTCCCATACAACAACATAACTCACTGATTAACCACCATAGTACGATGCATTGTTGTGGAAACTAACTAGCCAGTCATGACTGTTTCCTGAACATGGTCGCATATCCGTCATTTGAACCACATTAGTTCAACAATTTAGGGCTGTTTTTAGTGACGTGGAGTATGGTGGAGTAATAACTTCTGCTAATTAATTGATTCGAGATTTCTGAGATGCTGCTGTATTGAACATGGCACCTGATGACTAATTTACTATGTTTTGTTCCCTGTCATTTTGCTTTATTTGATGTTTGATTTATGGCGGGTTTCCTCTTACGTCATACTCCGGGGTTCCCTTCAACTCTTTGGTAATCCCCCCACTCTTCAAAAATTCCCTGTCATCTTTATTTGATGTTTGATTTATGGCGGGTTTCCTCTTACGTCATACTCCGGGGTTCCCTTCAACTCTTTGGTAATCCCCCCACTCTTCAAAAATGGCGCTTATTGAGGACGCGCTAAAATTTATCGTATATATATATATTTAAATGGAATTGAAGATATAGATTGTACTGCATGTTAGCTTGCTTATTGTGCCCAAAAGCATAATTTATTTAAGTCCATATGTCTTACTAACAAGAAACTATGCTTCTAACCACAGGTGGAGAGCTGTAGTTCCTACCACGTAAGTTTGCGACGTTGTTCGTGAATGTTCGTTTGAACTGTGGTTTCGGGAAACACCAAATCGATGAACTATGCGGGTAATGACGGAACTTGCGACCATAGTTGGGTAATAATGCTTTTGGGAAACGCACCCCAGATCGATAGATATTCCTCATATAGCATAACACATTAAACCAGACGGGCACATGTGGCGCAGCAAAGAAAAACAGCGCTATGCTTCACGTTGCGTTTTTACTCGTAACTTCACGAAACATGCATACAATTGGATGTCATTATTTTCAGAAAATTATCCCGATTAAAATAAGCCCAGAGTTACCATAATCTGCCAATGAGATCCAAAGATATTGCTCATAGTGCTATAACACATAAAACCCAACGGGCGCACTTCAGGCGTAGCAGGACAAACTGTAGTTTCGCTTTGCGCTTTTATTCATAACTTCATGAAAGATGCATAGATCGTTGACAATTGCACAACATTATTTTTAGACGATTAACAAGAGCCCCAAACTCATCATAATCCGTTCATTAGATCTAAAGATATTCCTTATATTATCCCATACATAAAACCATTAAATTAAAAAATATAGGTTACATTTTCATTCATAACTTCATGAAACATGCATGCATCGTGGAAAATGGCACGTCATTATTTTCTGAAAATTCTCCCAATTAAAATGATCATACTATAATCTGTCATTTAGATCTAAAGATATTCGTCATCAAGTTATAACACATAAAACCCCAAATGCGCACGTTGCAATATTCTCATGTTTTTTTTTACGCTTATCATATCATGAAACATGCTCCAATCGTGGAAAATGGCATATCATTATTTACAGCAGATTCTCACGATTGAAATGAGTCCAAAATCAAAACAATCCATTGCGTCTTTTGTGTGTAAATAATACCTAAACCCATGAATTGAAGAAATCAGTTAGAAAGCTCTATTGAACACTTGGCAAGCAGAATGTAAAACCTAGAATGTTTCGGTCTATTTTATCTTTTATATAACTTAAAAAAATAAAATAAAAAAATAGGTGTAATTTTAAAGCTTAGAAATTCAGCTTTCGAATGCATCCAACCATTATGATCAACTCCTAATCAGAGCTGCCTAGTTCCTCTAAACCGGAGTGTACCGTCGGCGGGAGCCCCCTAGCGAAGAAAAAAATTAATAATCATATTTTTCAAACTCTCTGCTTTGATCAACACAAAATAGGTGTCATTTGAAAGCTTGGAGTCTGACCTTTATGATGCATGTGGCCACTCCTAAGTAAATCAGTTAGAAAGCTCTATTGAACACTTGGCAAGCAGAATGTAAAACCTAGAATGTTTCTGTCTATTTTATCTTTTATATAACTTAAAAAAATAAAATAAAAAAATAGGTGTAATTTTAAAGCTTAGAAATTCAGCTTTCGAATGCATCCAACCATAATGATCAACTCCTAATCAGAGCTGCCTAGTTCCTCTAAACCGGAGTGTACCGCCAACGGGAGCCCCCTAGCGAAGAAAAAAATTAATAATCATATTTTTCAAACTCTCTGCTTTGATCAACACAAAATAGGTGTCATTTGAAAGCTTGGAGTCTGACCTTTATGATGCATGTGGCCACTCCTAAGTAGTGCCGAGTTATTTGCAGATAAATAGAAAAAATGTTTTCATAATTTATTATTATTGTATGGGGGTTTATCAGAGCAAACGGCATGGGTGTCTGGCCTGTGTTAGGTTACCATTGACATTGTCCATTGGACAATCGGGCAATAATGACCACAGACTGATGAGCAGCTGAAGTCTTGTTTAAAGCGAGATTGGGCAAAAATTTAGCTTGCAAAACTTTAACAATTAGTATCCTCTATTCACAAACAATTAAACATTGTAATTAAAAGGAAAGTTGATGTGACACAGTGTTAAACGTGCCTCTGTCCCAATTTACTTGTATTTACAGATTACAGTTTATTTGGTCAGTGAAAACATTGAAAATCTTTTCTTTGCACTTTTGTCAATCAAATAAAGATTAAATTGAATTAAGATTTTATTATAAGATCTTGATTTTAATGAATTTTACAAAATGTTTTTCTGATTTGGGGTTGTATTTACTCATGTCTAGATGTTTTATGTCTTATTGAGGTCTATAAAAGTTAAAACTGTAATGATGAATATACATTTCAAAGATTTCTATGCAGTCTAATTATATAAAACTATACTGTCAGTGCACCATAGTTATGCAAATGAAGTAGATCAATGCTTTTGTTTCAGTTCATAAGGATGGAAACCTATCGAAAAATAGTAGGCTTAAAATATTCCTTATCCTGTGGCTCCATCTAGTTTACAACATTAATAGCACAGCCTTCATCTTTCAGTTAAAATGGCTGATTAGCGTCCCAAACATTATAAATTCATGAAACTAGCATCTTTGCTCAGAACGACTTTGTTCTCCACGTCATTTAATGTTGAAGATCGAATATCTAATTCATATCTAATATAAATAAGTTTTTAACATAAAAACTTTATTTCTGTTAAAATGACACTCTTTTATGTCGAGATCACAAGGAAACAAGAAATAAAAATAATTCATGCAGAACTCATGCATAGCCTCTTAGGGTTTCCGTACTTTTTGTAGCATCCAAGCAAACAGAAGGGCCTTGACTAATAAACTGAACATTAATGTGCTGTACTTCACTCCAACACCAACTTAACAGCTAAACAGAAGTTATCAAACATGAAATATACTTTATTATGCAGAAATTGTTATGCACTATTGCCACTTTTTTAGGAAATAACTAAATAAAAGTAATAGCCTATAACAAATACATCTACTGTAATGCAAACTTTAAATTTCGTTTAAGGCGACGTACATGGAGATGACGTATGTATCAGGCGTCTTGTAATGCGACGCACCTAGTTCAGACGTACTTATCACACGTACATTTTTAAAAATTAATTTATCACGTATGCCGTCGTCATGGCGCCGCCTATGATTGGTTCCAACAGTGACGTCGCCGCGGGTCTGTCGTCCGCCCGCCCTATAAATCCCATTCAAAATTTGACATGGACCGACGGCGACGGAAGGATAGACTGCTCCTTCTCCTCCTGCTAAGCCTTAGAAAAGGCACGATCCACTCGCCATACTGCCGAGCAACGACAGGAGCACAGGAGTCACACCCTCACTCACACATCCATGATGCTGCGTTTGCAACAAGAGGTGCCCTCATTGTGCATGTTATGCTCCTCATGTTGAATCCCTTATGGCAGTAGTTCCCAAACATGTTCCAGTAGGCCCCCCAGCTCTGCATATTTTGAATTTTTTCAACCATTTTATGTAAAACTATTTTTAGAATGATATAATACACTGGTAACAATTTTAATTTAATTTAATACATTTTTTAATTCATTTTAGTATATAATCAATGTGAAGCTTAAAAGTAAGTTTGGGATCCAGCCAAAAACCAAGGTATTTCATTTGATCCACTCTATGGAAATACATGTCATCATTGCACAATATTGTTAGATTAACAGATTTTGATTTTAAACATATGCTTTGTACCAAAGACCATGGTATGAGATTTAGCTTTATTAAGTAATCATTTATTAGAATAGAGCCAATTTTGCAGAACATTAAAGTCAGACTGAAGTATATTTAGAATTTGAGACAAATAAGGCCTAGAAGTATAAATGACAGTATTGTCTGCATAAAGAAGAACAAAAGAGTGTGAAAGTATTTGTTACGTCCTGATAGTTAACCTGCGTGTTTTCTCTTTTTCCTCTTCCTCGCTCTGTCACTTTCTTAGGCTTCACCCCTTGGGACTGCTATTGGTTCAGAAAGTGGTCTGTCATTGTTAACATGTATGATGTTACTGGTTTTCTTTTATTCTTTTCTTTTGTTTGCCACCACTTGTGACTTTTTTCCCTGTGGGTTTATTACTTTATTTTGATTTATGAAAAATATTATATTATAATATATATAGAATAAATATTATAAATGTGTATATAGTTTTTTTTCTCTACTGTTATTTTGATATTTGTCTGTTATTATTATTGTTATTCCATGTTTTTTTTCTCTTTTCCCTTTAATTTGTAAAACAAACCCTTCTCTGGCAGTTTTGTGTTGCGTTCATCTTTTTGCCACCACCATTACAACAAATATTGATTGCAATCACAATGTTACTCCTTCTAATCCTATACCTAAAATCAAGAAGATGTAATAGTATTAAAGGAAGATTGTTAACAAAAATGGAAAAAAAGTGGACGCAATGCTGAGCCCTGAAGCACACCTCTTTCTTGAATAAACAACAGGTTTGGACAACCCTAGCTTAGGCCTTTCCATTCTGTTTGTGTTCCTTATTTGGGTCTATAGTTTTAGAAGGTTCAACAGGTTTCCTGTTTGAGCCGTTAGAGTCAGCCTCATAGGAGGACTCTTAAAAAAGGTTTTGTTATTGGCTCTGACAACTCTCAAAAGGATTGGAGAATTGATCTGTAAATTCTTCCTGTATGGATTTTGCTCTCACCCTGGTTTAGGTCTTATTGCAACCAAGGCTAGGATATCTACACAAGATTATTTCCACTTTATTTCACTCTCAAGTTGTCGTGTTGCAGTTTTCTCCTCTGCCCTTTGAGAGGCAAAGGATAGCAGGGGCATCGCAATGGAGGGAAAGGGGAACAAAGTGCATAGGGCCCAGAGCCCCAGAGACCCAATGAATATGATTTTGAGGGGGCCCCACATCAAAATCTGTGTAAGGGGCCCAGAACCCCTAGCTACACCAATGCTTTATAATATGGTGTATGCAGATTAAAAGGAACATCTCGCTTATGTATGTAAGCTTGGTTCCCTGAGTAGGAAACAAGATTTTGCAACATAGTTTGCCATACTCCTTAGTTTGTGCTACGACTGAGAAGTAATACAGAGAGTGCAGCCTTGACACAGTGCCTGACACAATGCCTCAGATGGTGATGTTAGCATTATCAGATAATAAATTGCCATGATTCTATATGGGCTTCAGATAACTGTCTTGTGGGGGGTGTTCACATAGCATTAGCTATGACATTTTGTCTCATTTTCTTATCCAAGGCTTTTTAAACGTGGCTATGTTGGTATCCAAGAGGCTTACTTAGAAATGTTAGGAACATGTTAGAAACAATACCAACAACATACTTAAGTTATTTCATGAAAAATGAATCAACCAGTTGATGCCTAAGACTAAAAAACATTTTTTTTTGTAAATGAAACAACCTAAGCTTAAGAGTAATGACAAAGTAACAGAGTGTCTATTTAGACTGAACATTCTCAGAACGGAAAGGGACAAAAGTTGTCACTGGGGCGGGGGCCCTTTCAAAAGGTAATTTTGCTCTGTAACATTTTTACTCCTAAAGGGTGCATATTAGTACCTTAATTGTACATATTAGCAACTAAAGTGAACATATTTGTACCCAAATGGCACATATTAATACCCTTTGAAAGGGTACTGCCCTTGTGACTTTTGTACAATATTTTCAGAGAGTGAATGGAAATAGCCCATCTTGTTGGCAGAGGCTATTTACACAAACTAAGAAATCCATCTGGTACCAGCTGCAGGGAGTAAGAATCGTCAACCAGCGACTCGCCAACCCAAGTTTGAATCTGCCTTTTTACAATCCCATTTGTCTATTTACTCTTAGTGCAAATAGCACCTAACTTCTGTTTGCAGTTAATGCACAGAAAATACAGTTATTTTATTTATAAATAGCATCTATAAATAGCATTATAAATAGTATTTGTGTTTATTTACTTTTAACACTTTTTGCACTTACTGCAAATAAACTCTAGCACCAATTATAAGTTTGAAAGTGATTAAATTCAAAATAGAAGTATTTGGAGAGGCTTTCTAGTTTGTACCACATGTCTAGCTAGATCAACAGTTCCAGAAAACTGGAAAAATTCCAACCCATTCTGCTTCTTTATTTTTAAGTGAACACTGAACAACTGATAAACTGCCAAGGACAGGGCCGTTTACTAGTGCATTGTGTCCACACAGAGCAGAACAGGATCAAAACAATTAAAGCCTTGACAGATCTTGGGCAGCACTTCCTCTACAGATGGATGGCAAGTATCGCAAAGGATTTTCATTATCTCTTCATGCCTGGAAGGCCAGACTTTCATCATTATTTTCTTCTTGCCAGCAACAATCAGCAGACACTTATATGTATAGATCTTTCACTGTTACACTGTCACTGTTTCAACCTATTTAGTTTTGTAAGGTGAACCTTGATGGACTTGTTGAAACTGAGAGAGAAAACTTGATTGAAAATGTCTTGCTATAGAAACAGTCTCATTACACCCGTGATGTGACACAAAAATCCTGCTGACACAATACCATTAAAAACAAACAAATACACAAAAACTTCTCATAATGTGGGTGTTGCCTGACTAGTTAAAAGACTGAAACTGAAAGTACACTTCCCTCGTCTGTGTTCCACTCCAGCTAACAGACTGTCTGCTGATGTCCTTGTGCGCAGCTAATTTTTGTGTTCTTGAGTGAGGAGAACAGAGCATGTACAAGTGATTTGAGTGCTTGAAAAGACGGTCCACTAGAACACATCTATCTACATTCACGGACAAAGGAATATATTTCAAAATGCTTGCACGCTCAACTGTGTGTGAGACAGAGGGGAACATTTCCAATTAAGTATACCCGAGTCTTTAGCCCATCTTTCCATTAAATTATGAACAACAAGTTAATTACATGGGAAAACTACAAGTGCTTCACCCAGTTAACTAACAGGTGTGCTAAGCAAAATTCAGATTTTTATGTTCATAGTAGAAAAATTCAATACAGACACAAACGTGCAGTATTCAGAAACAAATTCATGTCAACTAAACAATCATCTAGTAATGTTCCAGGCAGCTAAGGCAGGTGTTGTTGGGGTGTGAAGTGATGGTCTCACCTGTGGGGTAGCGCTCAATAACAGGTAGATCGTCCACCTGCAGTGTGGCGTTGCCGCCACTCCTTGTGAACTTCACTATATGGTACTTTCCATCATTTACAAACTTTGCTTTCTCCTCGATGTTGATGTCCTCTGTGCCCACATTAAATATAGCCGCAATGTAGCCATTTACCTGGAGGAAAAACAAAGAGAAACAGGTAGAAACTTGAGGTTGAATCTATGCCCTCTTGTACATAACTAATGATGAAGTCTGGATGGTTGAAATTAGCATTCAATATAGAAAATGAAATCATTATAACCATATCATATTAACAACTTGTACGGTTACTTGCATTGATTACTCATAAAATGTGGCCTGGTCTTCATCTAAGTCACAGTTATTGACAAACACTATCTAACTTACAAAAGCAAAATGCTTGCTGGAAAAGCAAGTGACTGAATCAGTAACAACCTCTACCAAATCTGTCCTGTAGCTGCACTTGCCCAACATGAAGGATGCATTTTAGACTATTCCTCGCTACAGCTTCTCTTGAGCTTGATGTCTGGAGCCGGTTTCACCAGCTGGACGTAAAAAAAAAAAAAAAAGTTGTGTGTAAGCCCTATGCCAGCCTTAGCATGCAGCTAACAAAAATATGCTTTACTAACATTTCCATTGAGCTATGAAAATGTTATTTCTGAAAGTTTTTTAAAAGTTAAAAATGTCCAGCTATTTTATTTTTCAGAAATTTCTTCTTGGTTATGTGAACATTAGAGGAACATTCCATTCTATTATTTTGAAATGTTATGAGAACGAGAGATTTGAATGTTTAAGACAACCATTTTTATATATTTAAAGTGCATTTTTCTATTGGTTATGTGAACATTAGAGGAATTATATTATTTTGAAACTGTTGTGATAATGTTATTTCTAAATGATGGGTGGAGAACCCCCTCCTAAAAAAAATCATCCTACAACACTATAGTCGTGGATGTAATGGATGTGACACTTCGTCAGCTTTCAACAGGCTAAGAGGCTGTGACACTACCTATATACTGTAGATCTAACAGAAGCTGATGTCAACAGAAGGCTTATTATTGGAAGCATGTGTCACATTATTATGCATCATGCTCATTAAGCTTTAGCATTCCCAGTGAAGGCAGCAGATGGAGATCTCATCACAGAAGAACACACCAAGCTGGAGAGGTGGGGGGAACCTCAAGACCATCCTGAACAGGCCAGATCCACCAGCGTTTGCTGACATACCAGAGGCAGAAGAGGACTTGGACATCAACATTGGCGACATTACAGTAGAAGATGTCAGGGAAGCTATTAACAAGCTGAAGAATGGCAAGGCTCCAGGACTGGATGGTGTGTGCCCTGAAATGCTCAAGGCAGAAGTACAGGCAGTGCTTGAAGTGGGCCGGTACGCACCGGTACGCAGTACCGGCACTTCGATATTTTAGTCTTTAGCGTGCCGACACTTTTTCGTGCATACCGGCACTTCTGATATGTTGCCGGTACTCCGAGTCAAAGCGTCAGTGTCTGGGTGATTAGAAATGACACTATATAAATCACACTACCAGGAGGCGTCACCTCTCATCTCGACAAATCACGTGAATGAATGCAAGCAGAGTCGGTCTAACTCATCAGGGGGTTTCGATGTGCGGGGCGCGAAAACGTCAGGGGAGGCGCGCATGAGTGGTAGAATAATAATAATTATTGATTACTAATTTGAATCAGTACATTATAACGAAAACGATACCTTAAAAATGAAAAGAAGCAGGTTTTTGCGATCACATCGTTTTAAACCGGTTAAAATCTGGAAAGTCCATGGATCCAGTAAGCGGATTCAAACAGTAAGTTCAAAACAGCGCTAATGCAGAGAAAACACAGACAATTTCATCAGATTGCGGAAAGAATATGACTCACGTCCAGATGTCAGTAAATTATTCTTTTAAGTGTGTATTTGGCTTAAAAGCAAGATTGTTTTATAATGTATGCTGGCTGAAGGTATTTTAGATTATGATGATACATACATTGTGAATTATGAAAATTAAAAAGTACTTATTTATTTAATATAAAAAACAATAATAAAAAAGGGGAGGGGCTGAGTTACCAGCACTTCTTTTTTTCCACTTCAAGCACTGAGTACAGGAGACGCCACAGATCCTTCAGCGAATCCTACAGGACATTTGGGAGAAAGAGACAGCCCCAGAGACCTGGAAAAGTGGCATCATCATCAATCTGCCCATGAAGGGGGATCTTGGGGACTGCAACAATTGGCGAGGCATCACCTTACTCTCTCTCACCAGCAAGATCTTCAGCCATATCATACTGCAGCACATCATAGCAGCGGTGGATGACATCCTTCGGCAAGAAGAGGCTGGTTTCAGGAAAGGACGGTCATACATTGACCACATCTTCGTTCTACGCCAGATCCTAGATCAGTCCCATGAATGGAACAGCCTATGAATGGAATACCTCGTATTCATCGACTTTGAGAAGGCCTTTTACAGTCTGCATCGTGTATCACTCTGGAAGATTCTACAACAATATGGCATTCCGAAGAAACTGGTCAATGTCATCCAGTCACTATACAAGAGCTTTGCGTGTCGTGTCATCTACAATAGTGAGCTGACAGAACCTTTTCCGGTGGAAACCAGAGTGAGGCAAGGCTGCATCCTGTCTCCAATCCTATTCTCCCTAGCCACTGACTGGCTGATGCGTAGCATCACCCAAGGAAAGCGCCAAGGCATCCAGTGGACCCTGACCTCACTTCTGGAGGAAGTGGTCTATGCCGACGACCTTGGTCTGCTAGACAGAAGACAGAAAAATTTGGTGAAATAGCCAGTACCATCGGGCTAAACGTCAACAGCAAGAAGACTAAAGTCATGATGAAGAATGCCACAGTCAATACTCCTGTCAACATAGATGGAGCACCTTTGGAGGATGTGCAGGAGTTTGTCTACCTGGGCAGCAACATGACAGCAGATGGTGACTGCGATGTTGAAGTGAATGTCAGAATCAGTAAGGCAAACCAGGCATTCGCCATGCTCAAATCAGTCTGGAGATCCAACAACCTGAGCTTTCACACCAAGATCAGGATCTACAAGAGCAATGTCCTGAGTGTTCTTCTCTACGGCTCAGAATGCTGGAAGATGACAGTAACCATCGAGTGAAAGCTGGAGGTATTTCAGAACAAGTGCCTAAGACGGATTCTCAGAGTCTTCTGGCCGAGCAACATCTCCAACGACGACATCAGGGACAGGACTTGAGTAAAGTCAGTGCGAGAGTCAGTCCAGTCACGCCGATGGAGGTGGCTTGGACATGTCTGCCGCATGCCAGCCGACTCACTACCCAGAACAAATGGACACCAAAAGGAAAAAGAAACCGCGGGCGACCGAAAGAAACATGGCAAAGAACAGTTGAGAAAGAGCTGAAAAGAAAAGGGCTTACTCTCCAGACGGCCCCCAGGACAGCGTTAGACAGAACGAAGTGGTGCAGACACCAGACCGCGCAGAGAGAACTAAGTAAGTAAGTAAGCAAGTCATTAAGCTTGCTAACTCCGGGCATATTAATAGGATATCAAAATCTAAAATATCTAGAATTTCAGAATCAATAAACATTAGAAAAGCCTTTTTTTGCATTGGAATAACCATACTGGCAATGTTCTGCTCTGTGCTACACAAGATAAAATCACTCCACTAACATTTAGTTTGTTTTCTTTGCTCCCACAGGGGTGGATCACTAGAAGTTGCATCAGTTTCTGCTCCGGGTCCAGCTTGTATCCCACTCCCACCTTTTGTGTTGCTTAGCGACTATACTTCCAACTACATCCCACACCAGCCTGACAGCGAGAGACACTGCTGCCTGCAACTTCACAGTCATTACTTTACTGGATATGTTTACATGCAGCCTCATAATCTCTTGATAATCAGATCAATACCTCAATCAAACTGAAAAGCCTTCATGTAAACACCCCAGTCAATCTAACTGAGCTTGGAATTTCAAACACATTTGAAAGGGTGTAGATCTTAAATCTGTTAAACAGGAAAATATTGGACATGTAAAATATCTTTCTTCCAAAAGATCACATAGATAAATAGGTTTATATTTCATGTGCTTGCAGTTCATCATTAGCCACGCCGCAAAAATCACCCTCGCATGACTAAGACAACTGTTAACAAGGCTTAAAGAGCTTGCGGTCTGCCGTTCTTAGACACAGGCCACAATGAGAATAAACGCCAATATATTTTTGGAGTATATTTTTTCTTGTGAGCACACCAATGTCACAGATGAGTATTTAACTGTGGAAAGCAAATATACGATTCATTGTGCAGCACTGACACGCTTGTCCATTCTGTGACACAGACAATAAGTTCAATAATCAGCAGAAAAGAAGCAAAACCCTACCAAACAAACGCCGGAGTGGATCTGGAGCAGTGGAGTGATTTGATTACAGGATTACATCCGCTCATATCCAGTACTCTGCCTGCTAGAGGGCAAAGGGGCAGAGGCTCAGACCCTGCAGCTAGCCACTTTTGCAGTCCCATGCTGCTATGTTCATTCACCTGTGATTACACATCTTAATTAAACATGGCAGCAGCGAAAAGAACTGGTCAGTGGATGAGACTGGATATTTGCAGAAGATCTCTCTTCTGAAACTAATGCACATGAAAGTTTTAAACGGCCAACAAATTTGGTCATACATAGTCCATTGTATGCATGCCCCATATTGTATGTTTGTTTGTACACTACCAGTCAAAAGTTTCGAATAATTAAGACTTTTTCAAATGTTTTTGAAAGAAGTATTTTATGCTCACCAAGGCTGCATTTATTTGATCAGAATACATTAAAAAAGTAATATTGTTAAATATTATTTCAATTAAAAGCAACTGTTTTCTATGTGAATATATAGTAAAATGCAATGTATTTCTGTGATGCGCAGCTGAATTTTCAGCATCATTACTCCAGTCTTCAGTGTCACATGATCTTCAGAAATCATTCTAATATACTGATTTTGCTGCTCAAGAAACATTTCTGATTATTATCAACGTTGAAAACAGTTGTGTTGTCCAATATTTCTGTGGAAACTGATACATTACCATTCAACATTTTAGGGTAAGCTTTAAAATAAAATAATACTAATATGAAATTCATGTTTTTTTTTTTCAGTATGAATGTATTAAATT